AAACGTAACGTAACAATAAAACGTAGACCTAAACACAATGGACCGTAACGAACACAATGAAACGTAACGAAACACAATGAAACGTAACGAAACACAATGAACGTCACGAAATTAACAGTAACGAAACACAATGAAACGCATTGCAAACGTAACAAATCTAAAATGAAACACAACAACGAAAGAGCTTTGAAAACGCATTGAAAAGGCAATGAAAACGCAACGAAAACATTATGAAAGAAAGTAAACCTTCTGTTTGCACTGATTGTAAATGAAGAAATTAATTGATCAAGAACGCCAACTAAAATATTGTGGATAAAAGAAGATGGAATAAAACACGAGAAATGAAAGAAAAAACGAATGTGGTGTTATACATATGAACAACATTTTTGATTTATTTGGCCATAGACAACTTACGCTGGAAACTGATGGCTCGTTAAACCCGTTTGATAACTTCCCTAACATCAAAAACTGCAGTACCTATTTTTGTTGTCAATATTTAAGAGACAGAAAAAGCAAAATTGTCCAAACGAATACATCAAATATCAATTTTGTTTCTTAATGGAATGAGCGGTCTGCAATAACTTGTTTGGAAGTGATAATGACCAAATGCATTTGATTGAAACCAATTAGCCATACTTTACAGCTGTAATTATCCATGAAAGAAAATCTAATTATTCCAAAAACCGTCAAAGACAATTATAAATCACGTTCACAAAATGCATCAATAAAGACATTTATCCTATGATTAAAAATTTGAAATATAAAAAATAGAAAATAAAATATTATTCTTCATCCTTTTAATTACAAGGAAAATGAGCTAATGAGTAGTTAAAACGTCTCAATTAATGTTTTTGTTAAACGTTCGCGTTAAATGAAAACATACATTGTATCCAATGTGATGTTTCTTTAAATTATTGATTTTTTTTACCTTTTGATTCCTTTATTAATTTGCCGTTGTCTCGGAAAATAATCAGCAACGTCAGCAACTCCATCGGGATAAATAATTCAGTTAGTGGTAGGGAATTGTAATTAACAGCTTCAGAAATTAGTTTTATCTTTCAATATCATCGCCTCCGTTGAATTTAAGTGCATGTACTGTCCAGAGATTGAACAAACGTTTCCAAGACTCAAATTAGTTCGACTTTTCTTGATGTCGGTTTTGTTCCATTGATTGTCCCTGCAGGTAGGGCGTAAGAATTGTACCTGCTGCCCCCATTGCATGATCGTAAGAGGTGACTTAATTTGGGTTCTTAAATTTTCTCTTCTTTCTAAACAACTTTCTTCTTCCTAATGTCTCCCTTGACAATGCCTCACCTTTGGTTCAGCGTTCGACCCTGTGAGGAGGGCTTTGGGTTCTGTCCCCTGGCCGAGACATACCAGAATCTGGAAAAATTGGTAGTTCTCACTCCTGCTTAACGCTCAGTAATTTAGGAGTGGGACGACTGGTTCGCCCGTTGTCAGTATAATGTGACCGGGTGGGTGTCCTGCTGGTTGTCTTCGGCAGTATGTTTCAGTGAAGTAGCACTATAAAGTCGGCATCAGTTCCGCGCTATCACAAGGAGACAAACACGAACATATAGCAGCCTCCCAAAACACACACGCATACATCTTGCACACAGGGGAGACCGTCCTTTAATGACCATAGCTGTTGAAAACACGTTTTACAATACTAAACAAACCAAACCAAACTGTCCCAGTGATAGTAATAGTTTTCAAAGTATCTTAAATTACATTTCCATTTCCTTTTTGTAATGGATTCAGTTAATTGTTGTTATCTATTTAATATATACCATTCCTTTCTGGAATGTTTGGTGGGAGGGCCGAGAAATCAAGGACTTAAAGAAAAGGGGTACTTTTAAGACGTTTATTCATGTTCAGATAAAAATGATTTAATATCTCGAAGTTAATATTTATAGCTTACATGTACCTACATTTCTTCAGGTAACGTCTCATTGTACTCTTTTAGAACGCATGCGCAGTTTCGAGAGGGTGGACGTAACCTACATTTGTGTCAATTCTGCAAACGATTACAGAAAATGAAAGATGACATTTCCTAACACGAAACGCGGAAATATAACCATAATTGTAGCTTAACGTCGTATTTCCTTTCCTAACTAAACAGGTTATTTGTTGCGAAAGGTCCCATATGTTATGCCAGGTAACAGTTACTGTGAGTAACTACCGAAGTTTAAACTTCAAATGATTGCGTCCTAACTCAAACTCAACAAAATTCGGAACGGGTTAGGTAATTAGACCGTGATGAATTTGATTTTAAATTTTAAGGTAATTAGTAAACGTCTTGTTCAGTTACATAGCCATCCACAAGGTTCTTTTTAAGATAGGACATAGACAAATGTTTGTATTATTGGAGGCGGCGTTAACACGCTAAATAGATTGTTTCCTCGTCTCTGAAACTGAATTATTCTCTCGTCCTTTATCCATCATGGTACTTTTTATCTCCAAACACTTTGCAGTAACGATTTTTGTTCAGGCACGCCACACATAGAACCGTGTACGTGCAGAATTAAGTTTAAGCGTAAGGGATATTTGGATAGACTATTTACTTGGGTAAAATATTTTTCATTTATTTTATTTTATTTAAAATATTGGTGTATGGGGCAATTCTGATCGCGCGGATTCCTTACATGTAAGACTGTACTGTATAGCCAACGAAATCGATCGTAATCCGTTTTAAGCTAGTCCAGAAAACTTCACCTTCCAGACGCTTTCCAAGTTACAACCTATGATATGTGTTAGAGTGAGCTCCCTTGAACGAAATTTAAACTCAGCTAGAATAAACACTCAGCATTATGTATGTAGTAAATCAGAATTATATGAATGTTAATAGTGTATGAGCTGGGGGGGGGGGGGGGGGGGGGGGGGGGGGGGGGTTCGAAACTAAACTGTTTTATTTGTTTGTTTGTTTTTATTTAACGGCCCATCGACAACTATGGTCATTTAGGGCCATTGTGATTTTGTTGTTTAAACAAATATGACGCGAAATGCGTAGATAAAATCAGATAAAAAGTAAAAAATTTCAAAAGCATTAGCATGGTATATGTAAATAATTAAAATATGAAATGGGTTTAGCATAATAAAAGTTATGAGAGATAATGAATACGAAACTAAACTGACTTCGGCCATTCATCGTGTATGCATGCGAGACATTTGGTACGAAAAGTGAATTATCTGTTACATATATGTGTATGGACCATATCGGCGACTTCCGCACAAAGCACGAGCAACGAAATCTAATAACCTACTTTGACACGTGGTTTGCATCCTGTATCAATCTGCATGATTTAAAACAGGGGACATAAGGAATTTAGTGTTTTTTTGCCAAAGTAAGGCATTGACAAAGGATAAGAGGTAGCCTTCCGCATTACAATATTTGTTTGGACAACTGAAACATACTGTAAAATGAAAATATTCGCGGCGTTTACATTTTCACGTTCATACATTTTAAATTATATTTTCGTGTAGTGATTTTGAACTATATTTTCACCTCATATAAGCTATCGTCCTCATGCCCTAGGGCCTTGACGAAACCTTGCCTTTGCATCTGTCTTTTGTTCCCATTCTCACCTCAGTCTAGTTTCTCCTTCCGATGTTTTCTATTTCCTGTTCAACTGTCCCTTTCCACGTTTATTGTGTGCCTCTACTCTTTCTTAAAAAAATAATCTTCCTAATGTCTCCATTGACAATGCCTCACTTTTGGCCTGTAGTTGAGCGTTCGCCCATGTGAGGAAGGCTTTGGGTTCTGTCCCCTGGCCGAGACGACATACCAGCGTCTGTAAAAATGGTAGTTTCTAATCCTGCTTAACGCTCAGCAATTTAGGAGTGGAAAGACTGGTTCGCCCGTTGTTAGTATAATGTGACCGAGTGGGTGTCCTGCTGGGTGTCTTTGGCAGTATGTTTCAGTGAGGTAGCACTATAAAGTAGGCATCAGTTCCGCGCTATCACAAGGAGACAAACACGAACATATCGCAGCCTCCCAAAACACACACGCATACACTACAGGCATGCACCTTGAACACAGGGGAGGCCGTCCTTAAATTACCATAGCTGGTAAAAGGACGTTAAACAATACTGAACCATAAAAACCTTCAGTATGCCACGTCAGTGATGTGACAGAAATTATGTAGTCATCCGTTCTCACAATATGGTCGGCCAATGTCCACCAGCTCTTTATTACTGTCTCGCCCATTTTGAATTTATCTACCCATATCTACTCTCTTTTGTATTTTTTGTCATTTGATCCATTTTGTTATATTCGTTTGTAGACATTTCGCGTTTTTCAGTTGTTAAATTGCAAAGCATGTTTGACACATTAACTGGTCTGTAGTACTGCTATCGAATAGAAAATCTGACGTTAAGGAGATTGAAGTCTGGTCATGTAAAAGATTCATACAAAAAAATAACGTGTCTAGCAGAGTCCCGAGTATAATAGTGCAATTTCAGTTAAAAGTACGCAATCTTGATATAAAAAACGGTACCCCTACTGTGATAAATTCAACCTATTCATCACTTTCTGGCAATATATTCAGGATAATCCATTTCAGAAATTTACTCCTGCGGTCTGACTGTAGCATACGGCCCAGCGCTTCTACACACTCAGGCACAATGGATGGGTAACCATCGGCAGAAGGTCTTGCCACATGGGCGTTATAGCATATCAGAAGTAGTAACTGTGACGCCATTTTATTTATGCGTCGTATCTGAAGTTATATAGCATGTGACAAGTCCCTGTGCCCACAAGGGAGTTTTTTTGTCAGGATTTTGCGCTATGTTACTTATATGTATATGACGAGGCGTTTTTGTAATCAGTTGTGGAATGTAAATGTTTTGTCATGTCAGCTGATATTCAGCCGATTTCTTTCCAGACATTTGGCGCAGAATATGACGCTAAAATTTGATTAGAGATTCCTTTACACATTTTAGATGTACTTTCTGAGGATATTATCAACATTTTAATTCTGGTATTTTTTCTTTCATTACAGATTATCAACCCTCCATCTCTCCGCCAGGTATGTAAATTTTGCACGCAATACCGTGAGTAATTAAACCCTTTAATTAGAAACCAATAAGTAACGTTTCTGAAAATAGACAAAAAAAGTAGTCGAGTAAATTGCATTGATCTAAATATAGGTTGATTCAATTACCAAACTACTTCATCGAAACAGCCCATTGTTTAGATAGAGAAACAAAACTGTTTTTTCTGTACATAAAAACACTGAACAAAGCATGGCTATTTCTGAACATTCAACTTTCATTTCTGTAGAATCTGTTAAACCAACATTTTGTGGTGATGAATTCTATTTCTATTGGATCGGAACAATGGCAGACATTACAATAGTGTCTGTCGACATGTAGGATTCCTTTTATTACAGAACCATCAAAATGGTTGTTTGGACAAATGAACGTGCTTCTTAATGCGTTTTAATTACTGTGTATTGTATGATTTACATTACAAATGAGACAATTTAATAGCTTTACAAATAGACACTCCGTATAAATTACGAGGCTGAAGTACGTAGCTGATACAGGCTGACTGAGGTACACATTTAATACGGCGACGATACTCGCGTAACTATTCATGGAAGGAAGAGAATGGTACCAATATAAGGCGAAACAATATCTCGTATACACCGCTACAGAACACCACGGTTTCTGTTTAAACTGCTAAAGCTTATTGTAGCTGGAGCTACTTTGTATAACACAATTTCCTGTACATGTAGACGCTTGTATTCTACATGACAGGTGCTAGATAGAGGCCATAATGCGTATATTAAAATTCTTTCATACTTACTCGATGTTTTCCATAGGAAAGATTTCACCCAAAGGCCTCCATACTTACGCACAGTAGGCGCTGTTTTCCTTTTGACGGCTGTCAGACAAATGGTACAAGTTTAAACAACTTAATTTCAAAATTGATACATCATTTTGACATTTAAAAAATGTACTGTAGGAATGGTATATATGGACGCTGTTTTCCGTGAAATAGGTGTCAGACTGGGGACTATTTACAACCAATGTTTGTCATTTATGGGCTTCCGTACATATTGAGATGTTTCGTTAAGTGCAATGAATGTCAAAAACAGGCTGTTCATATACAGTGTTACTTACGCAATTTTCCATATGTAAGATATCCGTCAATGGCTTCCATACAAACATATATATACTTTTAGTATGATAGCAGTGGCACCGGAAACATATTTATGCTCCTACTATTTTGTTCAATAACAAAATGTTAAAATACGAAGTTCACATTCTTTTCTTCTTTTCGATTCGTTTCCGAAAACATATTTTGTGTACCCACCATCTCCCAACTTCTAACCCCAACCCCCAGCCAACCTCCTCAAAAGAAAAGAAGCTCGCCTCGCTTAGCGTTTCGGATTCCTATTAAGTATTTAACCATTAGCAAAAATGATAAAACTCTCATCGCGTCAGAGTTCTGCTAGATTGTTCCCCGTCCCGAGTAGGGGCATATCAGGCTTTTGTGCGTGTATACATAGGTATACAGGCATCATTTAAAACAATTGTCCCCCACCCCTCCACTTTTCAAAGTGTTTTGTGTCACTATACTTTTTTTTTACTTCTTACGCAATTGCGATGAATGTCCTTATGGGTCTCCATATACGCTGTGTTCTCTATAACATGTGTCTGCTAGTGGCCTCCATACATTTATTTCAAAGACATATTTATTTATATTCACACTTGTGTTTTCCGTAAGAGACTGAAAGCCAGAGACATTCACGTATATGATGTATATTTCTTTAAACAAGATGCTTTTATACATCAAAGATGCATTTGTATATGATAGGAATTTTGTCAGATGCTGTCATAATGTGCATTATATATATGCTGTTTTCTGGTTTACTGAGTCCGTAAGGGGCCTCCGTAGTATTTGTACGCGAGAAGCAATACTGATACAATCTAACGGATTTTTATTTCAAAATATCACGCATGCCATAATATTGAGGCAATCCTATAGTATATAGACCGGTTCGTGAAATGCTAGATGGCCAGATACGACAACAGAACGATAAAAACGTCATTGAACATGATTGAATTTGTCGTAAAAAGACATATGTGATTTCTCAAATTTATCAGCAATTCTTACGACTGCTTTGTCAAAAAGTTCGTTTCTATTTTATTTAATAGATAGAGGTGTCCTGGGTTCTTTTTTAAGGCATTGTGAAGTGTATTCAAACGTAAAGCGTGCTTTGGGTCGAACTAAATCTAATTAGCTTCATTCCTGTGGGTTGAAATTGGATTAGAATCGATTTACATGTACATTCGCCCTGGAAATATATACATGTCTGTATTTGATTACCTAAACTGTCACTCACTTAATGTGTTGTGAAAGTCCAGCTGTCAAGTTGTAGCCTTTGTTGAACCTCGACGAAAATTTGAACCAGGGGTCATTCTAAGAGTTATAAATTCATTGCCTAACATTTTGATCAAAACTATACAAAACCAGAAACCGCGGCCGGCTTATCTTTTGTGGAGCTTATATTTTATATGTTCTTGCCTGTACCATAAAACCTCGTTATATTGTCGCTCGCTTATCGGTAATGGATTTTAAATTGTTCAAATGTTTGCTGTGTGTTTGTACTTGTTTTGGCATAAAATACTTAAAGACTTAACTTGAACTCCGTGGTTCTCGTTTTATTATTGCAATTCTTTTTTACTTTCCCTCGATATATCGACAGACCCTTAAGCTAAATATTGGTAGAATACTACGTATAACGCAATTGTGCTGTACGGTAAATCATTGATATCATTATTATCGTTTCATTCATCATTTGAAATTATAAAAAAACGCGTTTCTCCTATTTTTAATTATTACTTTATTAATTCCCTCGTGGCTTTATATTGCTAAACCCATTTAATACACCCTGTAAATAATGGCAGTATAGCGAGAGTTGATATGTGGGACTTCAAATGTCATTTTTCACTGTAATGTTCAGACACATTTATCATCATGAAAAATGACTTGGAAGCGCTCCGTAGAGAGTACATTAGTTATATTTTTTGCTTATAGTCTAGCTGGCATCCCAAGACGTGCTAGTAGCGTCCGGCTATGACGGTGACTGTACTTCTCATAGAATATCTTTTGTCCATACACGTTCGATAATATATTGAAGGAAGCATCATAGTGTATCTTGCAGTGATACGCATGCATCCATTATACTTTCAATTCAAATAATGGCAAACAAGTATAGTTTACGTGATTTAGCTAGCTTCGGCGTTCGTCATTCGGCTTCGTTGGGAAATCTTGCAATATATCATTCTGGCTTATAGAATAAACTGTTTTCTCCCTGATGAATCGCCTTGTCAATATAATAACAAGAAACCAAACAAACTCAAGGTCACGATGATGTTTACTTCCTCTGCATGCGCATGCGTGCAGCTGGATCTTCTTGTTCTTTTGTTCTAAACCAAAGACATCGTTTGTCTTAAAATAAAGTTGAAGAACGAACATTTATCGATAATCAAATTATGATTTTTCCAACATGGTTCGGTTGAGCTACCAGATATAAGACATGTGGTCATGGTCACTCTTGAAACACTCTACAATGTTTGACCCGTCTGTCAGTCTTATGTTTAAGTAAAATTCGGAATCATAATTTTAAAAATCAATTTTCGGCAGTTCTGTTTTCGGTCGTTAATATTCATTTTCATCTTCGTTTGACATCCCCTATTATTGATTGATAGGATGATACAAAAATATCTTTCAATTATTTTTGAAAGATTACGTAATTTCGCATTTCTTTCTCTTTTGATCCAATCCTTTGGTGAAATAATAGTCTTTAATGTTGTTCCATTTCCGAAGTGTAATCAAATATTCCTCGTTCATTGACTTTGATCTTCGAATTACTGCTAAATGTGTTCGCATGCACGTTTTCAAACGAGCACGTGACCATTGACCACCAATCACATGTCTGATGCTTGATATGAACAATTCAAAGGATAGCGCTGGTGAGTTTACGTTCATCAGTGTGTCCAAGGTTCGAATCTGCTAAAAAGTGCTCTTGGTGAAGTTTTATTATAGACATAATAAATTCCAAACAAAACAGTTAAGTTAGAGCGAAGACTAGAAATGAAAAAAAATATAATATTCGAGTTCATTGGGAAGTTTTCTCATATATACTGTGTTAAAGGAATGGGCTAACATAGAATGACGTTACGAAAGAGGTTTGCCATATAAGTGCCGTCCTTCGAATTTCTTTTTATCCAAGACTTTAATATATGTAGAAAGACGTCATAGGAGAACCCTATCAAGTCTGTGTGTCACTTATCAGAGGTGAGCCAAAGATACGTCTTGGGGAAATTAGGTCTGATGCCAAGGGGGCACGTTAGTCTAGTGGTAGGACGCCGGGCTCGTGACAGAAGGGTTGCGGGTTCAAGTCACGTCTTGGCACTGTGTTGTATCTTTGAGCAAGATTTGTTATTCCGCTTGTTCCAGTCTACTCAGCTGTAAATGAGTATGTGGTTGGACAGTGCTAGAATTGTTGAATGCTAGGTTTGAGCGAAATGGCAGCCCCGGCTGTATGCTCCCCAGGGAGTTGATAATGATATTGGTTGGTTGAAAGGGCCCTATGACCACGGATAATAATTTGTGAACCGCTTTGAGACGGCCTACGAACTAGGTTATGCTAAAGCGGTATATAAGAACCTCGAATTATTATTATCATTATAAGGATATCTTGTTGAGTGATGCAAGCTTGGTGAAAGTGAAAGTATGCGCTTCAAGAACGTGGTTAAATAATGTGTAGGTCTAACGATGTTTTGCTCAATATTCTGCTTATGTTTTGCACGTTCACACACGTCCATGCACCTGAATGCATGTACATTAGGTACATATAGAGGTCAAGCACTCTAAAGTCGTATTCTCATTAATAAAAAAAAACTTATTATATTTTATTTCTCTGCATCTTAGCATGGTTGTAAACATCACAGAAGAGAGTAATTTCCCGCTAACGCCAAAATGCCTTCATCAAAGTCTTAAATCGTATGCTCC